TAATATACTACTTTAATGTTCCAATAAGCGATTAAAGTACCAGAGATGATAAGTTGTTTTGTATTATTTTTAAGTTTCACTAGAGATGCAAAGAATAAGTTTTACTTGAATTTTTAAATTTTTGTGTTTTATCTTGTGACGACAGTAAATGTTAATGAAAGGCAATAACTCGCTTTAATATGTAGAGATAACTTTTAAGGGTAAGCAGTTAGTTATAAATAATTAAATTAGGTAATTAGATAACCTTAGTCATTATGGATTTACATGGCCACTACTAAATTTTATTTTTTAACAATATTTGTTAAAAAAGCCTATTAAAATCAAAATCTAATAAAATTTCACAGTTTAAAATACATGTAATTTATGACATTGATTCATAAACTATATTAGGATACACATTAAAAGCTACAAAACATTTATGTTTTAATGTTTTGTAACAACACTCAACAAAATATTTATCCTTCATTTTAATTTGAAGCCTTCCAAACATTTTGGCTAGTTTATATCGATTTCCTTCTCTTTAATCATCTTTTCTAACAATTAGAGAGTTATCTCAATATGCAAACCAATGCTCTCGCTAGTTTCTGCGTGCTTATCTTCTAACTTGTCCACATCTCCACAAGGTACCTATGAGGGTTTACTTGATCTGGTAAAAGTTAAATAGTCCCAAACCCCCGACTGAATCATAAACTGAAAGGCTGAAATTATAAACAATTGAGTACGTTACATAATAATAACTGCACATATCTTTAAGGAGTAATTTTCTTTATGTATTCAGTTTCTTTCTTCAACACGGTTCCTTTTCATTTTAGAATTTTTGGATCTAATTATTTCTGTTATTCTAAAAAACACTAAATGCATTTAGAATGTAATGAAAAAGTGGCTAATTCTATTTCTTTAGTAATATGAACATTCAGAAGAAATATGAAATATATATGGTAAAGCCCGGTTACAAAACTGGTGTGGCAGAATTTTTAGAATTTAGTGACACACCGAACAACAAAATTTAGAAATAGCAAAACATTTAGAATTTAGGATCCACAGAGATTGCATCAGGTGGGAAAATGCCTAGTGCCAGCTCTGTGTATGATGCATTAAGGCATATTAGATGAATCTTTTAAATTGTAAGTTTTCAATTTCTTTATTAATACAAAAATCCCTTCCTATAATGCCTGCCCAGTGATAAGATTAGAAGCATTTTTGATATTTTTTATGCTTGTGTCTAGTAAAGGTAGAGAAAATAAAAGGGAAGATAAACATGTTAAGAAAAAGATTCTAGTATCAGGAGTAAAACATTTAAATATTATGTTTTCATTGTTCTTCCAGACATTCTCCAAAAGGTAAGAAATTCATCGCAAACTTTCTGTAAAATATATCCATTACGTGTCGATATCATGGAAACATTTTTCATTTTGTCACATATTTCTCGAATCTTCTAGAATCGTGGGTCTATAAATCTTTACTTCAAGCCCTTCTAAACTTTCCAAGCTGCAACGTCTTACTAAAGAAAAATTATCCCTACCAATTCTGTAAGAGCCAAAAGTCAGAAATATTTTGAAAAAAAAGGAGGAGGGAAAAAGTGTAAAATTAATTTTATAGAGAAAACTGTTGCATATACTGAGAATTTTGAATATTCCGAGATAATTGCATGTGAAAAACGCTTACTATGAAAAAATTAAAAAGAAGACATTTTTAATTAATTGCATAGCCAATTTTGCTCTTGCTAAGAGCCGTTTCGTAAATTATGCTTTATAGCAATATGGCTTATATATCAGATTCATAATATTGTATAAGTTGCCAAAATGAAACTTTATAAATATGACAGCGAAAAAAAAATATTTTATTTTAATGTTATTTTTTACATATAATTTCAATATATTACCATTATTTTAATGAAATTTATCAATGTTATGATGCCTTAAAAAAATGGTCGAAAAATTGTCAGATCTCGGAAATTAAAAATTTTTTCTATAGAAACTGATCCTTAAAATCAGCCAACAAATGTTGACAAAGTCGCCAAATTTAGAGCTGTTTAATAAAAGAATTCACATCCCCAAAAGCAAAACGTTGTTTAAGAGTTCTTTATTAGATAAAAGGAATTTCGAAATGCTTATGTTTCACTTCTTGCTTAGAAACTCGAGTATCCCATCATTTTTATTAGAAATAGAAACAAATTATAACCCATGAACACATTCAAAAGATAACCATATATGTCAGTGAATCGCCAGAAATATTCCTCCAAAATGCTAATTCACACTCAAAATGGCAGTCATAAAAACAGACAGAAATTTCAGATGATTAAAATTAAGGACCTTCTGCTGATTTTGGCCAAAATTTAGGACTTTTAAGAACCAAAAATCAATTCCAAAAAATTTAAGGACTCTTAAGGACCGTACGAACCCTGTTTTCCGTATGTGTAATGTGTATACAGTATATTGTGGATGCATACGTAAATAAAGCAGGCGCAAACCGCTAAACACTGGTAGTTCGGTCCAGCTTTCGAATAAAGGCGATCGGGCTGGCTGCATGGGTGTTTTCGTGATTTTAGGTATGTTTATTGTGTATGCAGTATTTTCTAAACGTATACGTGAATAAAGCGGGCGCAGCCCGCGCTGAACACTGGTAGTTCTGCCCATCCTTCAGATTTCAGCGAATTCTGGCTGCATGGGTGTTTTCCTAATTTTCCCCATGTGTATCGTGTATGCAGTATCTTCTGGATGCATACGTGAATAAAGTGGGCGCAGCCCGCATCATCCCGCTGAACACTGGTAGTTTGGTCCAACTTTTGAATTCCAGCGAACAGGCTGGCTCCATGGGTGTTTTTGTGCTTTTACGTGTTTGATCTTCTAGATGGATATGTGAAGAAAGCAGGTGCAATCCGCGCAAAACCACTGAACACTGGTAGTTCGGTCTAACTTTCGAATACCCGCGAAAGAGCTGGCTGCATGGGTGTTTTGTGATTTTAGGCATATGGACGGATACGTAAATCAAGCGGGTGCAGCCTGCGCAAATCCTCTTAACACTGGTAGTCCGGTCCATCTTTCGAATCTGAGCGAGCGGGCTGGCTGCATGGGTGATTTCGGGATTTTCCGCATGTGTAACGTGTGTGATGTATCTTTTGGATGAATATGGGAATAAAGCGAGCGCAGCCTGCTCAAACTGGTAGTTTGTTGCAACTTTCAAATCCTGGGGATCAGGCTGGCTGAATGGGTGTTTTCATGATTTTCCACATGTGTAACGTGTATGCAGTACCTTATGGATGCACACGGGAATAAAGCGGTTAAATTCGCCGGAAATTTAACATGTGGCGTGCTTGCCCGCTAGTATATATTAATTTTTCTGTGCATCCTTGACGCCTCTCGTAAGTACAAAGCACTTTTCTGTTTTTATTAACAAATGCATTTAAGGTTAGTTTTGAGTGATATATTCATTTCCTGCTGTTTATTTTATGTTTTATTGTACAGAAAATGATTTTTCAAAGTTGGAATAATTGTTTTCTTTTTTGCTATACCCGCTTTTAGCTTTTTTCGAATTATTCGGGATTTTTGTTATCCGTGGCGACCACGCCACCCAATTCCGCAGATAATCGGGAGTGTACTGTAATTTTCTTTTATTTAAGCCATTTCGAATATTATTCCTTAGAAAGCTAATCTGTGTAAAAATACACCCATTTTTGGAAGTTTATCTAAACTTTAACAGCTACTGCAACTATATTATTATAAATAGTCATACATATACTCATAATATAAGCATAACAATCATAAACACAAAATATAAACTGACCACGCAGAACGAGAATGCAAATTATTAAAATCTTGATAGAAATTCAAACGCATGTAGTATTTGGGTTTCCAATGGAATACCAAATGTACCAGAATTTTCTACGGTTTTCGCAATTCTTTGACCAATAGAACGATGTGCACCTGTCTGTACTCTCACGTGCACCATAGGTTACGTTAATGCAGAGAAAGGAGGAAAAGCTATTTCCGGGAGTATGATTCACCGTCTGACGTTCCATATAAGGAAGAAAAGTTGTTTATTTAGTTTCGGCTTTGGTACGGGGGGAAATGCGCGTTCATTAAAAAAAGCACTAAAAGCAAAAAATAAGCACTGAAAACAAAAAAATAAGGGCTTTAAAAAAAAGTAAGCACCTATAAGGGCCTTTATATTTTATTTTCAAATATAAGGACTTATAAGCACTTGTAAGGACCGCTACGAACCCTGTCTCAACATAAACTCACTGCACTTGAAAGATTCTAATGGCTATATCACACCATCAAGTAAGAGGTGAGACGGCTTGCGTATACGGATTATATGTGCACATCACAAAATGTAGCCTGAGAATTACAGAGTGTTGTCCGGCAATCAATGTCTACATGGATGATTTGGCATTGTCAGCAGGTATTGAGGAATTTATACAAGATATCAGTATCTTTGATTATATATTTCTGGCAACTGGAGCTACAGTGAAGTTTAGAAAGAAATACTATACTGACTCAGCAACTGCATATGGAATACCATTTGATTTTAATTCTGCTTATACAAAATATACACTATTACATCTCTGGAAGTGTTAAAACCCATTGCTGCTCTTCATCTTCAGTTACCAACAAGAAGTATAATTACATATGATACAAAATGTCTAACAATTTCTGAATGGCTGCCATGGTCATTGTATTAACAGCTCTGTTATATATCAGACATGTCTGGTCCAAGATTGTGTAATTACTAGAAAATAGTACACACATGGTGACTTTGTCAATGTGTCCAAACTACATGGATTAACATATTTGAAATGCATAGTTATTGATGTCGCTAATGCATTGCAAATATAAAATTATTTTGGTAAATTTTGTTTTCACCTCTTACTATGGAATATTGAATTTTTATGCACAAAAGGAAATTTATGGATTAATTTATGTATGTTTTTTCATATGCTAAATGACCCAACTCAGTTTTTTACAAATCTGAGCACTAGTGGAGAATAAAATACCATAATATCATAGCAAAAATGAAGTTTATTCCTGTATTTTTTATGCAAGTCCTGTACATTTTAGAATCATAAGGAATATACTAATTGCAAAATTTGCAACCAGTACGTGTTCAATAATAAATGGTTTTCGCAACTGCACTAATCACATTATAGATGATGATGCTCCACACCTCCCATTATTAATGGGAATCATCCAGAATGATTAAAGAAACTAATTTTTACAAACCTATTTGATGACTAGTCTAGGTTCAATTAATGTTGGCCAACTTAAGATAACCTGAAACATGAAAAATAATATGTAAATGAAACAAATATGGAAAATCAATAAGCATTTATGCACTGGTGTTTAAAATGAAGAGAATAAACAAATTTTTTAAATGCCTCAAAAGATATTGAATTTAAACTGAATATGTCAAATAATAATACAATAGTGTTGGTGCTGAATACAATTATCATACTCATAGATGACACGACTTTAGTACGTAGAAAAACCAGCCATACAACATTAGGAAAATGGTTACTGTGGTAGCAGAGATATTGGTCTGGATGGCTACACAACATGCCATTCTGGGCTTGGGCTAAAATCCCACAATGGCTATTAATTTCGTTTTGGAATTTTGTGGTGTTTCACTTTTAAAATTGTTGCCACCAAATCCCTGTATTATATTTAAAGAAATTAAATGATGAAGAATCTGCATAAATGTATGTATGTTTCTCGCATTGTGATAAAACAATGGTACCTAGAGCCTGGAAGCCCTTTCTATTTCATATCTTGTAAAGCATTTATGAGTTTTTGATTAGGAAACTTAAAGATTTCAAAGCGAGCAATGGCAACACTATATGGAAAAAAAAAATTTTTTTTATCTCCAGTACATAAGACTGTGTATCGGAGATTCTAAAGATATGATCTTTTTTAATTATTTTGTGATATTGCTGTTGAATTTAATTTTATGGTTTAAGTGTGAAGAACATGGTATTTAATAAATAATGGAAACACACAAAACGTTAAAAAAAGCCCCTTTGGACGTAATATAAAATTTGAAAATTTCCAGTTTTTTTAATTATTATTATTTTTTTAACAGAGGCTGTACAATGCTCAATTAGTGAATGAACTTTTCAAAGTAAGGTTATTATGCAAATGGATTAAACAGCTACATTTCCGAACCTAAACCCTGTTAAAAACATGGCTGGATCTGGGATGCCTTTAGAAGCGAAACTGCAATACAGGTGTTATAGAATTCAAAAGCTAAGAACTGCTTTAATTTTAAAAAAAAATGCTTGCAGCTGTTACAGGGATTCCTCAACTGTCATAACTGTTACACTTAACACTACGATAATTACTGTGCAACCTGTATGCCAGTTAGAGATGGCTATGTCCTAATTAATTTCATTGTCTTGATTTATACATGGCCATTTCCATCTGCTAAAACTGACATCATGCAGCATCAGTTTTGCATTCTAGTTGTCATGAGCAAATATTAACTTTAATTGTGATATGGTATAAATTGCTGTCATGTTACTCTATACCATACCAAATTTCATTGAATTCCATACTGTATTTTTAAGAAATAATTTTTTTAAAAAGTAAGTAAGTAAGTGCTTATTTTCCTAATTTTGGACTGAAGTATAAATGATATAATAATAATTAGAGAAGGAAGACTCACTTGTTTTATGATCTCTGGAGGTGGTACTTCATCTTCATGTAAAATTTCGAACTTCCCTCTTCTCCCTGAAATAGAGACACATTTTTTAATAAATTAATTTTTAAGGAACAAACAAATAATGATGTTAAACATATTTTACAAAAATCAAATTAAAATATGTAAAAATAAACTATAAATATACAAATTAAAACTACAACTGAGTGTATGCACCTTCAAAAATATTTAATTCCTGACATTTAGAAACAGTTAATCAACCATAAGTCTTAAAATACCAGAATTTTATTCTTAATAGCAAGGAACCATTTACTTCAGGATACAAAATGGTTTCTCAGCTGTGCTTACACAGTAGCTCATACACACTGCTGTTCTCTTACTGACTCATAAAAGTAACAATAAATTACTGGCATTTGTTGGTTGAAAATATCTGAAATCTAAAGAAGAATTACAGTTCAATATAGCAACAGCCGTCTGAGTTAAGTGTGAGTGTATTACTGGGGTTTGGAGGATAAAATGTTAGTAATGGTCACCAATGACCAGACAATATAAAACAGTAAAATAGCAGATTGAGCAGCAAGTCCATAACTATACGGAAATTATTATTGATGAAATCACCATAGATTTATTATAAGTCACTGTTCTCCAAACAAAATTGTGATTGATGACCTTGGGTATGGGAAAGTGCATAAGAAACAACATGTGTGTGATCATATTTGAAATTTATTTTCATACAAATAAAAAATAAAATGCACTAAAATAATTCTTATTTAATAATATAATTATAGATGATTAATTTAAGCTATATTTTCTAAACAATGTTGAAGAGAACTCTGGGATTAAGAGCTAATGAAAAAATAAGCACTTGAATAATATTTTAGACATTAAAAGTTTAATAAATTGTGGGAAAGTTTATATTTGGTGCGAAAAAAAATTTGATATTAAGGCAAAAAACAGTATTTTTAACACAGATTCTGAAGGTACTGATTTCACAGATATTAGGGATAGGTTCCCCACTTTTGAGCAAAAGTAGGAAGAGCAACAGAAATACTTGAAAGGGTGCAGCAAAGAAATGAGTGATACCTTTGAGGAAAACTAGTAATGAAATACGAAAAAGATAAGATGTTAGTTTTGAAGGTACTAGGAAGAAATGAATTAGAATTTAAACACCATTCACCAAAGAAGGTACATTTTTTAGAATGTGAAAGGCTCCAAGGAAATCTAATTAGCCAACAGAAGAAGCTCTGTGGATAAATTTCATACAACCATAATGAAAATTGTGATTAAGTATACAACTATGAACAGCTGTCAAAGTTGTTTATTTCTCCTTTTTAAAAATTCATGTTCTTTTTATGAAATTTTAATATGCTTCTATTTTAATCAATATATCTCAAACCATACTACTAAGGTACGCTGTAAATTCCACAAGAATTATAAATCAGAGATGGAATCTTGAAGAATCAAACAATAAATTATACTGATAGATGGGAAAATGACTTGAAAATTAAACTTGTAGTGAAAGTGAGTGAATTCATAACTGACAGAAGGATAAAATAAAATGATAACGAAGTTATTCCAATTACCTCTAGAAAGGTTTATAGTAAACAGTAGTATTCAAATCCATCTTATATAATGGATTAATAGATATCACTTTTTAAAATGTATATCAAGGAAATAAAAATCTTATTTGGCATATATTAGATTTCAACAAAAAGAGAAAATGGGGGGGGATAAGAAGAAGAATATATAAGGCGGAAAAATATCATCTGTATGATAAATACTCGAACTTAATAAAGATACTTAATTATTTTTAAACACTGAACTTCCAATTTAAACTAGTTTTACCTGGTTTAACTTCTTCTTTTAAAAGTTCTATTTCAATTTCATCAGTGTCAGCATCTATACTTCTTATGATGCCTTCCTAATAAACAATACAGTGCAAGTTTTGAAAATTTTTCAATACTTTGAGTAAACAGTGTTATAAAAAGTAAGATCATAAGAACAGAAAAAAAAAAAAAAAAAAGATGTTCATTTGTATTGAATTGGAGAAATGTTTGTAATATCACTTTTTATAATGCCAACAAAACTGGATTAGTTTATATATACATTCACTGCTCAACAATGAAACTGCTGTACCGAAATGGAAAGAGAATAGAAATTTGAAATTCCCAAGACTGATAGATAATCACATACAAACAATCAAAAACTGAAAACAAAACATTCAGATCAATTTAATTTATTTAGTGTAGAATATGACTCCCATACACCAAACACCTTTGCATGCTCGTTAATAATTTTCTGAGGAATGTTTTACCATGCTGCAAGCACATGAGAATGTAAAACTGACAAATGTCTCTTCCTTTTGCAATAGTTGACTAATGATATGCTAGAAGACAGACAAGTCTCGAGATACAACAGGCCGCGTTAGAATATTAAGGCTCCACACATCCTTTTTGAATGAACAACTGTTTCAAACAGTTTTTAGACTTGCTTTACCATTGAAAGAAAGATGCACAATTTTTCCTTCTTTTTATGAAAAATTGTAAGATATTCATTTTCAGTCACCAATCAGCTATCAGCACTGAATCAACCATCATTTGTATTGGAAAATTGTTTTTCCTTTTACATGGTAACCCCACAAAGGTCTGCAATAATGTTTTAAATGTGTGATATGACTTTAGTCTACAATCTATTCACAGTACCTTAGCAGTTATATTAAAAAACAGTTCCTGGGGCATTCTGTAAGAATGAGCATATCACTGTTTCCATGATCAAATCTGCACAGTGTTTCACTGCCAGTATATTAGAAGAAATTTGCATAAACTTACAGTACTTCTGTCTTGGTGTTACAGTTTCAGTGCTGAGCAATACATACACACATAATATATTCTTGGTTTTGCTCAAAACATAGAACCAAAAATTAGGGATGTTATTTATATGTGTGAATGAAAAAATATTATGGTACTAAAATATACTGATACATATGACTTATATCTGCATTATAAAACTAATTCCTTAAGACAATCCAACAAAATGAGTTAATGTAAATAAAATCTTTTAAAAATGCATTAAATAAGGGGGGAAACATAACCACTGGTTTAATAGCAATTAAATCAAATTTTATCTTAATATATCTTACTGAATCCAGTGTATGATTATTTGCAAGCAAAAACTTGCCTGCCCTATAGAAAATGGACAGAGACACCATCAAGATTTAATGAACTCATAGTTTTAATGTAAATTACTTATGTTTAGCCAAATAAAGTTTATGCACTATTTATTTAGCCACTGTGGAAATGCACTTTTGACCACATTATAAAAGATAAGAGTAAATCAGCTTTGATTAAATTTTAAGAGTAGTTCTGTAAGATGATTACTGCTCTGTGCAATGTAATTTCAATAAATCTTGTTATGTTCACCATTATTTGTGTTTAAAAGTTAAATTGATATTTAAACCAACAGCTATCACTTATTTAGTTTATTCCCTCCAGAAAAGTTATAAGTAAGTTGCATGATGTGCTTTCCTTTTTCAAAAATAGATTTATAATTTTTGATTTCTTGACCATGTTTTAATACTGTCAGTAAATTATAATTCCTTTAAAAAATAAACAAACAGAAAATGTTAATAATTTTTGATTTACAGACTGAGGAAATTGCTAGATAGGTCTTCCTGAAAGAGGTTATTTTACCCTCTATTCAAACACAAGAAAATGGCTACAAAATGAAACTATGTAAGTAATCTTTAGGCGACACAAACAAAAGAAAAGTATACACTTCCAACAACTGATTCAGTGGCTCCAGACTATTGTTTGTAATACTGCTACAATTTATTTTACTATTGGGCAGAGGAACATATAAATTAAGTGGTGTGAGAAACAACTCAAACTTTCCAAAACTACAACTGAAAGATAACAGCTGTGAGTAAATCCTGTTTATTTATTGTTAATAATCATTTATGACTGAAGGAGATGCTATTATTTTTCCAAGAAAAGAGTATCTTATTTTATTTTGGATGAATGTGGCAATTATCTTGGAGCCATTATGATAAGGGCCTTGAAACTGTGATAGTATCCAATAAAACATTCATAAAATCAGAAATAATCATTAAAGATAATCTAAAGTATTAAATATCAAATACACTAGCTAGTACCCAGGATGACATGCTTTGGAATAATGAATCTGATGTCTATGATACCTGTACTTCCATCTTTTGATTACAACAATATCAAAAGTAGCAGTAATGAGAATGACAGAGGAAAGTAAAATCACAACACTGTACTATTGATACTAGCAATTACATACACTGCAATTCAAAGATGTTAGTAATAGCAAATAATTTCACAGTTCCTGTAAAGTGGTAGTAGTGTCTTCTTCTTGAAGATACATATGCTCTAATAATTTTGTTATTTGATAAAAATTTAACATTGCAGTTTACTTAATACAGCTTAACATAATTTTTTTTTTTTTTTTTTTATCTCAAATCAAAACATTTCATAAATACCTTCTTAGTCCAAGTATTCTATAAACAATATTTAAACTGTTCAAACATTTAACTTCGATTATCAGGGCTGAATTCAGAAGTGTATGTATGTGTGTACACACACAGGTATATATGTATATACATATATACATGCATACAATGAACACATAAACAGATGCATTTCTGGACCCGGTCCTGATAACAGAACAGTACCCATTTAAAATAAAAAGCAAAACAGGAAGTTGCATTCATACATTTAGTTAATTATTTTATCAGTTCCTTATATATATTGTTTTCCCTTTTTTTACCTTAATTTGCAAATACCTGAGGAAATATCTTAAATTTATTAAAATGTATCTTCTTTCATTTACTAGAATTTTCTTCTGCTTCTAATTTAATTGCTCCATGACCAAAATATTTTAAGAATACTTTTTTGAAATATGCAGGGCGAAAAATTATTATTCAAAGCATTACAGCAATAAAACACAATAGGCAATGCACTTAATAAAGAAAATAATATACATTGAAGCTTAAGATTAATGTATTTTGTAGGGAAAGGGATGTTACGTAGACATTCTCCTTTCAGGAGTTTTTCTAACTATGGATTCCTTGACAGGAAATAAATCAGCAAAATAGGGGTTGGGCTGCAAAGAAGGCATAGGAAATTCAAGATAAGAGGTAAAGAATAAAGGACCCGTTTTGCTTTCTGCGTTTGTTGTAGAGACAGAGAGATTGTTTTCCTTTTCCTAAATAAGGACTTGGCCAGTGGGTGAAAGGCATTTTGATAAAGAATTCTTACGGCGGTGATTTGGATGCCTTGAAGGGAAGATTAAGATTGCTTTTATTGTAGGTGGTGGCTTTTGTAAAATAAGTCTTGACTTGAAAATAGATGCCATTTATTGTTATGGGTTCCTTGATCTGTGATGCAAATAGAAGATGTAGACAAATGTATTGTTCATCGTAGGAGATGTATTGTTGGGGCATGATGTATTTCGATTTTTCCCCACGGAGAGAAAAGTGTGGGTTTTTCTCACACTGTTGATAAAGAAAGACATGTGGTGCCTACTCTAATTTTTATGCAGTGATAATTAGCTTGGAAAAGATTGTGTCAGACTTTGACTGACTAACTAATTTGAAATGAGGTGTGGTTGTGTCAGAAGTTGCTGTTTAATTAATAATTAGGCAAGCAGCTAAAAAAGATGAGATTTGGTTGAAAGGGAGCTGCTCAGAGTTTTCTTCATATGTTTTTGATTTTTCAACGTTTTGTGGCTTTTGGCATTTGTTTGATTTAATTTTATCTCAGTAGTAGCTTGAGGTTGATGTAAAGTTAAGTGAAAATGAAGGGGGGGGAAAAAAAGGGAGGGAAGAAATGCAGTTTATATCTGATAGAAAGATGTGTGTGAAGGGGGAAAAATAGACCAAAGTTGTTCTGTTCAATTCACAAGAATGTGCGAGATGAAAGAAAGTTTTTTGAAGAGGTTTCTGCATGATGACCAGCTGAACCTAATTATTTAAAGTAGGATCAAAGAAGACTTGAATGTCAAATCCACAGTTATGAGTTGAACGATGACCTATGTTGCATTCTTCTTCCCATGTGTACATAGAGTTGATATACTGAATTTATGACTTCCTGGAAAATATCATCAGAAACCCCTTTCGAGACTATTATTTAATGAGTGCAGAAACAGATGAGCATGAACGTACAAAATTCCACATTTAGAAACGTTGATTTGCTGATATTATTTGTCCTTGGATGAAGACTGATACAATCTTTTTGAGACTTTTAATGAATGAGTGGAGGAAGAGTAGAGTATGAAAATGCAAAATTCCAGACAGAGTGACAACGAATTCCAAATTTATGACAAATTAGATGAAGATAAAAAAAAAATAAAAAAAAAAATAAATAAATAAATAAAAAACTCTTTCATGATTTTTTTAATGAGTCGTGGAACAGATAAGCTTGAACGTGCAAAATTTCAGACTTTGTGGCTTTCAACAATGTGACGTGCCACGATCTGAACTTTGAAATATTATAAAGACACTGCAATCTGACATTTAGTGTGCATTAGACAAATGACCCTCAGAGAGTTTAATCTGTTCTGTTAATCTCACGGAGTTTAATCTGTTGTGGAATTAAATGGTGTAGAAACCAGAAATCTGCAGACGTTAAGTTCTACTTTCTCTCAGCTTAAATTTATTAAAATTTTTTTTCCCTGATTTTTCTTTAGATAGGACAAAATTTTTAATTGTGGGTTTTTATTATTATTATTTTTTTTATTTAATATGTTAAATGTGGTAATTTTGTCCTTGGATTTGTATAGCAAGGTTATGTAATTATGTCATGTTTTCTGCCCATGTCCGTATAGTTAAGAGACTGAATGTAGCATTATATTGAATGAGCCTGGGTATATTTGATTCCAGCTGCACTAATATTGTGAAATTGTTCTTTTGGATTCTAAATATTTGTAGCTATACTGATTGTCATAATGTTTCATTTAGATTGCAGATTAAAGTACTCGTCCTATTTTATCAATTATTATTATTCCTTTTTTATTGCACCAATTTAAATTGACTACACAACAGGAGAAAGAATCTAACATTAATAAACAAATGACTATCAAGTCTTGAACTCTATTTATTTTTACATTTACAAAGTGCTCATAAGGAATTTTGATTAGCATCATGGCCAGTGCGATCACTGGCTGGCAGAAAGTTTAAGGACAGCAAAAATTTTTAGAAATAAGTGAAGCATCGAGCAAAAAAAAATTAGAGATTGCTAAATTTTTAGAATTTAGGGGAAAATGTTTAGAATTTTAGTTTAGGTATGGAAGCAATGGGCAGCAGAACTTAGGACCTGCGAAAATTGCAGCAGGTGGCAAAATGCCTAGTGGCAGCTCTGATTAGCATCATGGTAGGTTCAGCATTGATATGGATACTGGGAACTCAGTAGATGGTTACGAAGAAGTTTTGTTTCACCATTCAGCAGATCAAGAGAACAAATGCCAACATAACTAGACTTAGCACACAAGTACAGCTAAAGCAGAGGGATGGCTGTGATAGGAAGGCAGACATTTAAAAACAAATTTTGGTCATTTAGGACAAACTGATGTTCATAGTATCATTTACAGTTACAGAAATCTTAATAGTTTTCTGTAACTATTTATCTTCATAAAAGTTTATTCTTTAAATATATGATCTATTATATATTGAAATAAAATAATAACTTACTTTATAATCAGATACTTCTGGACTATAATTACTATTCAGTTCTAAAATCTAGAATGAAATATTTAAAATCAATACATATATTTAAAATTAAATAATTGTTTTGCACTAATTATATGTAATAAATATAGCATTAGAAGAATATTTTTGATACATGTAAAATTTTAAAGTGAAATACTATAAAAATAATATGAAACATATTCAAAAAATAATACAGTACTTAAAAGCTAAAAAAATAACAAATTAAAAAAAATTCACTTGCAAATCTATGTTTTTCACTTTCATTTTTCTATAAATGATAGTTATTTTATATCATAACTGTGTTTCTGCATTCATATTATACATCCTATAAATCCAGTTTTGTAATGTTTGAAAATATTATCTTAATAAAAAAGCCATTGCAATATTATATAAAATTTGATAAGATTACTGCAAAAGAAATAGCAATGAAAAGTACAGATGATTCTATTTATTTGAGTTAAACATGATTACAGGTTTCCTAAATTACTGATAATATCATGGAAACAAGGTATGAGCTTTTTTTTTTTTTTTTTTTTTAGGGAATTTAAATTAAGAAATTCTGCAAGAATTTCAACCAAAAATAAGAACAGATTATGAAATAGAAACTACTGCCAATGAACATATGTTATATGCACTTTGGTTTATACAGTTTAGTTAATGAATCTGAAATATTAATCATGTGGCTATACATCTTTTTCTAACAATTCTAATTAAATAGAACTGAATGCATGCTTTGTTCGTAGATTGGACATCCATTTTTCAACTGTATTTTACAGCTCAGAAGTAACACTAATTTAGAAGTCAAGCAACAAAAATCAGCGTTATATTTTCAGGTTTTCACAGGACTAGTTTCGGTGGTATTACCGAACCACCATCCTCAGCTGCAAAACCACAAATGAACGAGGAAATAATGTTTAGATAAGATAAGAAAGCCTGGACAAGTATAAGCAAGTGGCGCTATCTGTTGGTGAAACCAGAACTAAAACATAATTTTTTTAAAGGCCAAAGGCAAATTTGGATTGGAATTAGGATCGTTAACTAGAACAGAAAGATTTTTATGAATGTGAAATGCCTCTAGAAAATCCAGTTTTCCAATGGAAGATGTTATTTTGAATAATTTTCGCAGCAGAAAAATTGAAAGTGTGGTTTTCCGACCAACAATGTTGAGCAACAGAAGACTTTTGTGTTTCCTTTTTTCTAACATATGCCTCATGTTCCTTGACGCAAAATTTTAAGGCTCTCTTAGTTTGGCCAATGTAAATTAAACCACACTGGCAAGGAATCCTATAAATACCCCAGGGATTCATATGGAATGGGGTCCTTGAGTATGGAACTCGGAATTTTATTGATGGGAGAATAAACAACCCGAAAGTTAAATTTCTGCAAAATATGTGCAACTTTATAGCTAATTGATGGAAAGAAGGGAATGACAACAGAATTTTTATAATCTCCTAAAACAAGAGTGTGCCTTTTAGTGTGTTGAGATGAGAATTTTTTAACTGCTTGATTAATAATGTTGGGTGAAAAGCCCCTGTCAATAGCTATATCAATAGCTATATTTAAAAGCAATAGCTATTGACCTTAAATATAAAAAAGCAAAATTGATAATGAAACCCTATTAGCCATGCGGGTTGGCAGAGAAATGTTACCAAATTTGCACCAAACATTTCAGCAGAATTTTAAAGAAGAACACCATTCTTTATTTAGTTAGATAATTAACTGATTCAAGTTACAGATAGCATATAAAAAACTTAAATTTCTTATATAATTTTTCATGTTGCCTCACCATTGCTTATCTGTTTTTAAGTCGCATATTGTATCCATTAAAGTAAACTTTTCTTGTTGCGAGGATCCCATAACTTTGAAAATATTCTACTGCATGCTGTTCTGCAGAAGGCTAAATATTAATAATCTTTTTTAATTAAAAAAATAGGTAAATAGCAGTTAATATTTATCTTTTGCAAAAACAAGTTGGTTTATCATAAATTAATTGAGTTTACATCAGTGGTATGCTATGGTTTTTACCGAAGGGTACTAGATATAAAAAACTGTTATACGCATATCTAAGATAACTGCACAGACAGCAGTGGTGGTCATCTTAGAGAGACTGTTAAACTCTAGGTTATTTAGTACTAGTATTTAACAGTATTCGCATAAATAGTGGTCATTTTCAGAAGTAGTCATTCATTTGAAAGAAGTGATAACACAGGGTTTATTATATTTTGAGTATGGAGATTAATGATACAGTTTGAAGACTAATGAGTACAATAATAGTTAAAATGCTTTAACAAATTTATGAATACTGTATAAAAAGTACCACTTTTTTTAAAGTACCACTTTTATGAAAACTGTATAAAAAGTGACTTTTTATACAGTTTTCATAAATTTTCATAAATAAGTCAAAAAGATCTTACCATAATAAATAAATAATTTGGATTTGATGGATGAAAAAAAAAAGTTTAAAATATTTCATCTAAATAGAAAAGAAGGCCAGCAAAAATTACTTTTTATTTTACATGCTAGATTAATCACTTTGAAATTATATAATATTTCATTTTGAAATAACAGGTATAATGTTTCATGATTTTACAAATGAGAACACTTAAAACTTGGAATTACTGCATCATTATATTTTGCTTTGCTTAAGAACAAACACTTTCATAAAAATAAAATATAGGTGTAATATTTAAATTAATTTCACTTATAACAATCATTAAAATTTGTTATGACCTGCCAGCAGTAATTTACAGTGTATCTAAGGGCAATTAGGGGGTACATGTGAAAGCCAGCTAGTCTTTCTTCACATAGAACCAATGAGACCCCCAAAACACTTCACTGTACTAATTCAGAAGTCAAACAACAAAAATCAGCATTACATTTTCAAATTTTCGCAGGACTAGTTTCGATGGTTTTACCGAACCACTATCCTCAGCTGCAAAAACGCAAATGAACGAGATATATAATGATCAGATAAGATAAGAAAGCCTCGACAGAAAATAAGCTAGTGGCGCCATCTGTTCATGAAACCAGAACTAAAACATAATTTCTTTAAAGGCCGAAGGCAAAGATGGATAGGAATTAGGATCGTCAACTAGAACAGAAAGATTTTTTTTTGAATGTGAAATGCCTTTAGAAAATCCAGTTCTCCAATGGAAGATGTTTTTTGAATAATTTTGGCAGCAGAAAAATTGCAAGTGTGGTTTTCAGACTACCAATGTTGGGCAACAGAAGTTTCTTCTGTGTTTCCTTTTTTCTAACATTTGCCTCATGTTCCTTGACGCGAAATTTTAAGGCTCTCTTAGTTTGGGCAATGTAAATTAAACCACACTGGCAAGGAATTCTATAAATATCCCAGGAATTCATATCCGGAATGGGGTCCTTGAGTATGGAACTCAGAATTTTATTGATGGAAGAATAAACGACCTGAAAGTTAAATTTCTGCAAAATATGTGCAATTTTATAGCTAATTGATGGAAAGAAGGGAATGACAACAGAATTTTTATAATCTCCTAAAACAAAAGTGTGCCTTTTAATGTTGAGATGAGAATTTTTTAACTGCTTGGTTAATAATGTTGGGCTTTAAATACTTGATTAATAATGTTGGGCTAAGTGCTTGATTAATAATGTTGGGCTTTAAGTGCTTGATTAATAATGTTGGGCTTTAACTGCTTGATTAATAATGTTTGTGTCTTAATTACAGAAGCTCCAAACAGGCTTATTTTTTGCTTTCTTTTTTCCACGTGGTTTTCGTTGTCTTGCATTGGTACGTGTTTCGGAGCCGAAAACGGCTTATTTTTTGCTTCCTTTTTTTGTACGTGGTGTGGTTTAATTTACATTGGCCAAACTAAGAAAGCCTTAAAATTTTGCGTCAAGGAACATGAGGCAAATGTTAGAAAAAAGGAAACACAGAAATAACTTCTGTTGCCCAACATTGTTGGTCCGAAAATCACACTTGCAATTTTTCTGCTGCCAAAATTATTCAAAAAACATCTTCCATTGGAGAACTGGATTTTCTAAAGCCATTTCACATTCAAAAAAAATCTTTCTGTTCTAGTTGATGATCCTAATTCCAATCCATCTTTGCCTTCGGCCTTTAAAGAAATTATGTTTTAGTTCTGGTTTCATGAACAGATGGCACCACTAGCTTATTTTCCGTTGAGGCTTTCTTATCTTATCTGATCATTATATCCTATCTCGTTCATTTGCGTTTCTGCATCTGAGGATGGTGGTTCGGTAAAATCATCGAAACTAGTCCTATGAAAATTTGAAAATATAACACTGATTTTTGTTGATTGACTTCTGATTTAGTATTTGTTCAGCGTGTTATTGTGTCTTAATTTAGTAGTAACAGTTTATATAAAACTGGTGTATGCAAATTGCACAAGCTCAGTGATCAGAATGAAGCTAAGCATTCAAAATATCACTCTTTCCAGAGAAGAAACAAGGAAGAAAAATTTATTCAAAGCACTGGACATTTTGATGAAAAGATTACAAGAAAAATCACAGATATTTGATTCAATGATAGATTATTTGGAAGCTAAAAAAAAAAAAAAAAAAAAAAAAAAGGGCAGAAGAAATAGGAAGAAACAAATTTCTGAACTTGCTTTATGTAAAATAATAGAATAAATGAAATCATTCATACTGCACTGAATTTTCCTCTTATCAAATTGCCTTTGTCTAAATTTTTGGAAGATTTCAGTACTCAGTTTTGCCAGAACTGGGTCCTTACACTTTTTCACTGTTGAAATAGTCTGATTTTTAAAAATCAATCTGAGACTTACAGGATGTTGTATTAGCAGAATCCCCTTTATTTATAACAAGAAAAGAAACATGAGTAAAGTTTAAAAGAAATTATTATCTTTATTGAGACTGAAAATCATAGAGACTGATATATCCCATCTCAAAATGGAAATTAAATATATTATTAATTCACTAATCCTGTACTATGATATATAAATACAAGTTTACATACCAGAGCAAAATAAAAAATTTATCACAAACTAGGACAAGCTTTTCTTGCCAAGAGCTAC